TGATACTAAATAAATTGAAGAATACAAAATAATGTGACAAACGAGAACAGCCATACGGTCCGACAAGTATCTAGTGGCATTTTGTTTTATTATTATCGTTAGACTACTCATTGGGCCTAAATTTACTTTCCAACCACATGAAAATTAGTTGGTATCTTCTCCTGTTCCTTTCAGTATGTTAAAATATTTTGAAGTATAAAAATATAATTTTCAATTCTGATAAAGATAAAGTTGTTCTACAAAGTATGAAAGAGATTTCGTTGTTATACATTTCAGATTGATTTGGTTAACGATCGTTTGGAATCTTTAATCGTTTTTAAATTTACTTGTTTAGGTAAACACATCCAAAAATTCTCTTTTATTCTCAAAGACAACAAAGAGGTAACTTGTAGGTGTCAAAATGCTATTTTCTGAATATACTAGTATTAGGCACATAACTGCAGTCAGGGGCGTAGCTAAGTGGATAAAATGGGGTTCAGTCAAACTCTCTTCGTCGAAAATTACTCTGTCTATATGAGTTTAATTTTTTTTATGTATATATATTAGATATTGAATTCCCTTAATTGTTCCTGTGTTTTTTTTTTTATTTTTGATTCCCATAATAAAAATTTCACTTCTGCTATTGACAGCAGCACATGGCTAAATGCAGGGGTGTACAAAGGAAACTGACAGACCGCACCAAACCGATAATCCGAGTCAAATCGAAAAAAAAATCCGACTATGGTTTGGGTTGATTTGGTTTGATGTTAGAAAAAAAAATCCGATCATAATTGGTTTGGTTTAGTTTTAACTAAAAAAAGTCAAACCGAAACCAAACCAACCCGGCATTACATGTATAAACGTTTTAAAAATATTTTATACATAAAAATAATTATTGTAATGTAATTTATAAATATAATTTAAACTCTTTAACAGTTTCTCTTTTAAAGTATTATTATAAGCTTAGACTTAGAACTTTTGAATGGTCAAATATGTTTTATAGCCCATAAAAGTTAGTACTCAAATAAAGTCCAACGCAAAATCAAATCAATACTAATGTTAACAAAAAAAATTCAATTCAATACTAGAAATGACAATAGTATTGGATATTTAATTTTTAGTTTCGGATTGATTTGGATAGTGAAAATGCATAACTCACATTTAATGTTATCTAGTCATGTAATTAATACTTAGTACTTATTAGTCGTACTTATTTTAACATGACTTAGAACTTTTAGATTATGTGTATTTTTATTATGGCTTATTAATTAGCAATATTTATCATATGCGAATTGTTGAGTATTTTAGTACAATTATGACTCATCTCATATTATTTTGTATTATTTTATTGGGTAATATGTTATATAGTTTTATCCTACTAGGACCTAAGAAATATTAGAGCACAAATTATAAATTTTATGCTATGAAGATTTTGTCGGAAAAAAACTTGAAAAACCCGAGAAAATCGAAAAATCCGAGAAAAACCGTGATTGAAAAACCCGACTTTTGTTGGTTTGGTTTGGTTTATAAATTTAAAAATCCGAAACAATTGATTTGATTTGATAATTAAAAAATTCAAACCAACCCGACATATGTACGCCCTTAGCTAAAAGTAAACTAAAAAAAGAGTCGAACTGCATGTCCATTTCGAAAGACAAGATAAGCCCCCCACCCCACTCACCCCACCTCCACCCCACCCCCACACATGAAGCTCATGAACGACGCACAAGAGAACGCGTGGTAAGTTTTGAACCAACTAAAAATAAACGTCTCTTAAACCTATTTTTAAGAACTAAATTCTGTAATTTCATGATTTAATCTGTAATCGTTTTAACATCATAAATCTCTTCTTCACCAAATGCTAGTGAACATATTCTGAGCTTCCAAAGGCTTATAAAGATGTTGGACTAATAATTATTTTGTTGGATTAAGGTTCGCGGTCGCTCGGTTTCTTTTACATTATTTTATTTTGCTATATAAATGACAATTACACGTATTTACATATTGTACATTGTAGATTTTTTACAAAATTTACCATTAGATAAATAGAGTAATTTAAATAGGATTAAATCATCAAAATTATACGTGACAAGTAACTGGGGTTACCACCACATTATAAAGCTTAGTGTTGGGAAAATAAGCAGCTTCCTTAAATAGCAGAATCCTCCCTTTGCACTTTATATCCTTGTGAACAATTATGATAAATGTAGATCGTTCGAGATTTTATTAAACAAAAGGAGCTAAATATCTCTTATTTATTTTCTCTATTTGTCATAAAGAGCTAAAGAGTATAGACCATGCTTATCTTGTCTCCTATGTTAAAAAAAAAAAAAGGCATTCCGGTGCATAAAGCACCGTGCATTACGTAGGGTTGGGAGAAGGGCCATACCCATAAGGGTGTGATATAGACAGCCTATCCTAATTCAAGCATTATTAGTGGATGCTTCCACAGCTCGAGCTCGTCACCCAACTTTATCGTTGCTCCAAGGCTTACGACAAAGCATCCAGTATTCACACAGTGGGTCGAGACCGGGCCGCCACCCCTAAGAGTGCGACGTAGACAGCCTATCCTAATGCAAACAATAATGACTGCTTCCACGGTTCGAACTCATGACCTATAGGTCACACGGTAACAGTTTTGCCATTGTCTCCTATGTACATAAATAGAAAAAATCTAGAAACCTCACCTTTTACATATGTTGATCATCAAGAACCACATCCATATATGTTATATTTGTACTTAGGAAATGTACGTACCCGATTGAAGACCATAAAGCCAAGGTCAAGATCAACGCCATTGACAGTAACAGTCTTGGCATGGCCGCCGAGATAATCTTCCTTTTCATAAACCACAACTTTAACACCAGCTTTTGCCAATTCATATGCAGAGACCAATCCACTTATTCCTGCCCCAACTACTGCTACTTTCATGTTTTTCCCTTACTTCTGCAAATATAGTTAAAGATGAAATATAGAACTGCAAAATGTAGATTAATGCATAGCCATATTATTAGTAAGACAGTAAACTAATAACATACCTTAATGATAAGGAATTAAAGGAATGATATTCTCCTTTATTTGTGGAAAATAAAATATTTAGCAGACTCAACTAATATTGTCACAGTACTGAACTCTCCCTAACTTCTATTCACTGCTAAAGCAAAGCAAAGGCAAAGGCAAAGGCTAGTGAGGATTGGTTGGCTCAATACAAAAAGACACTAAACTTAAAACCAAGTGGAAATAAGGAAAGAGAGTGGGCGCTATAGTATTAAGATAAGGTCATGGGTCTTCTGTTTACATACCCCATCCAAAAAAAATATCTCACTAAAGTAAACACCGGTATCCTATTCCCGCGACTGCATTTAGTAATAAGCTGAGGCGGATTCAAAATTTTAACCTTTGTGGATTCGAACCGAGAAATTTTACTCCATCCTATTTGAAATCTATTATTTGCACTTATATAGAGATTTTTTTTAACACATATATGGTTTGGGCTAAAGTTACGGATGATTCCATAACTTTAAGATACACTAAGTACGGACTTTACACAAATAGCTAGTTGGATTCACTTTTTACTTTTCGTAATCGGTATACATAGTTTACACACTGATTATGTATGATTATACACATATTATATATGAATTATGCATATATTATACATCTGTCGACTATTTTTATTTTAAACGGCTGAATGAACGGCTATATCGGTTAAGTTTAGGAAGACCCATGTCAATTGTCGTTAACGCTAATTAATCTTCATCCCTAAAACACGAGTTCGACGACAGTGACTTATCAAAAAAAAAATTAGTACAATAAAGTCAGTTTCATATCTGAGAAACCAATTAACCAAAGGAATTCCTTTCAGTTCAATAATATCATAGTACAGTTTGTGGGGTTGATTTTGTACCCAGTGATTTCATAAACTACATAAGTACATAAGCGGATTCATAATTTTAATTCTACAGGTTCAGGGGTTCCAACCACTGGACCAATCACTTTATTTGAGTTCGGGGTGCATAGTTCAATATTTTCAGCAATTTCAATATTTTATATAGATAGATTCAGATCTAATTAAAAGTTCAGAACGTCAAACGAACCCATATCTATATAGCATGTCACATGAAAATGCTTATAATTAAACCTCCTCTAAAATTTCTTTTTACTTGGGAGTGATAGTTTGAATTTTACATATATATAAAAAAGAAGATGAAATTTAAGCTGTTTCATATTTATTGAGTGAATATGCAGGATTATATCGAAGTCCTTTGGTGCTTTTATTATAAAGTAAATTAATCGTATGAGGAAGAATAAATTAAATGTGTACTTTGTATGCAATTTTTTTTTTTTTTGAATATTGTCTGTTTTAAAGTTTTATTTCTACAATTTAATAGTATTATTTTAACATATATTAAGAAGGATGAACATTATTAAACTAGCAACTAACCAACAAAAGATAAATATGAATTATAACATTTAATTTTGCTAAAATTGCAACCTTCGCGTTGAGAACCCTCTCAACCAGGGGCAAAGCTACACTCTGGTTAGGGTAGTCAATCGACCACCCTTTCGTCGGAAAATTACGTTGTATATATATGTAAAATATTTGGTTTTAGAGGTATATAATATATATTGAACACTCCTTATTGGAGATTTTTTTACTTTTTTCAAGTTTGAACACCCATTGAGAAATTCCTGACACCACCACTACTCTCGACTAGAATCTCTACGGAGAACTTGAGTTTTATAAAATTAAAAACACATGCATTAGATGTTGCAAGAATAATTTTGTTCCAGCAAGGATTATGAAAAGAATAATCTCAATTTGTCCAACTTGACAGAATAATAGAGGAAAATGAACAAAAAAAGGGAGGAGAAAAATAAACACATACATTTTTGAACCACACATTTGTCTGTCTTTTTGCATGAGACTTTAAGTGCAACGTGGCTTAATAAAAACCTATCACCACACTCGGTAAGCTAGAGTTCCAAGTACAACTTTGGCTGCCTTACTTTATGATTTATCTAGCAAGTTCCAATAGGCAGCAAAGTCATAGTGATAAAAAGAATTAATCAATATTTGAATCATAATATATAATGAACGAGTTTCAAAAATATTTTAGTGACCATAGTTACTAATAATCACTCTTTTCATCTTTTCTCGAGTCGACGGTCTAATGGAAATAATTTTTTTACCTTTTCAAAGTAGGAATAAGATTTGAATACACAGTACTTTCCTCAGATCTGCTTATGAGATTATACTGAATTTGTTATTCTTGTTATTGTTATTGTATCACATTTTGCTAAACTTGTACTAGTAATTCTTTATGATATACAACTGTAAACTTACTTTAGAAAGGAATACCAAGTGTTAGTGCTACTATTACTCGATGGAAATTAAAGCTACCAAGAATTATGATATAGGAGCAAAATTGCTCAACATTAAATTTAAACATTAATTAGATTCGTCATGTTTTTGGTGTGCGGATCTGATTCTTTTCATGTACGTCAAAGATGTGACATCTTTTTGTTAATCGATAACGAATTCAAAACTAGGTTCAATGCGCTCCAATACTATATTGAAGTGCTTGATCATATCAGATAGAAATTAAAATTGTTAGAAAAATTCAGTTTTTATTTATTTAATTATGTTTTAAACGAGTCAAAGAAAATAAATTAGTGACTTTTCCATTCTGTATCGTTTTAACGTTATCAACTGTACTTAAAGGGACTAGTACTCTCTATTCCATTACGAAAATCATGCATACGTTATGCATTATACAGACTTGAATTAAATTCCAGTATAAAGTCAAAATAGCATGGGCTAGTCAATTTTTGGATTGGTAAATAAAAAATAGCCAGTATTTACAAAATCACTAAAAAATAGCCATTATTTTATGCGGAGATAAAATCTGGACAAAGATACCCTAGTTGAAACATGGAAAGTTCCAGCATAATATGTTGGATTATAGATGTGACGACCCAAAGGGTCATCACCTGTTTTTAATTGAATTCTGTATCTCCGAGGCCTTGAAAACCTCATTTAGAGTCGCCTCGATTTGCTTGCGCAGTCCGGGCGCATAGCCGGAAAGCTTAAATATGAAATTCTGTGAAAAATGCTAAGTTTTGATGTTAAAATGAATAAATTTGACCTTGGTCAACGTTTTGGGTAAACGGATCCGGACCCGTAATTTGACGGTCCCGGAGGGTACGTAGGAAAATATGGGACTTGAGCGTATGCCCGGAATCGAATTCCGAGGTCCCAAGCCCGAGAAATGAATTTTTTGGTAATATTGTTTTTTGAAATTGTTTAAGGAAGTTGGAAATGAAATCTGATTAGAAAGCGATGGTATCGGGCCCATATTTTGGTTCCGGCGCCCGGTACAGATCTTATATATGTTTTAAGTCCTTCCTGTGAAATTTGGTTGAAAACGGACGTCGTTTGACGTGATTCGGACCTAAATTGGAAAATTTGATGTTTAATGAAGTTTGAAAGAATTCATGAATTTTGAGGTTTAATTCAATGTTTATGATGTTATTTTGGCGATTTGATCGCACGAATAAGTCCGTAGGATATTTTTGAGGTTGTGTGTATATTTGGTTTGGAGCCCCGAGGGCTCGGGTGAGTTTTGGATAGGCCACGGGGTGCATTTTGAACTTAAAAATTTGCTGGTGTGTTCAGGCCTTGCGAAGCCTGGCTAGCAATTGCGAGCTTGCAAATGCGAAGGCTGGATCGCAAATGCGAAGCCAGCCCAGGCCACTCTTCCTCGCAAATGCGAGCTGCCTTTTCGCAAATGCGAAGTCGCAATTGCGACTACAGCTTCGCAAATGCGAAAGCTGGGAAATTATGAAGGGTTTGCATGTTTCGCATTTCCCACATCTGCAGAGGATTGCGAACCCCTCTTCGCATTTCCCATAACTGAGACCTGCAATTTTTACACTTAAACGATTTTGAGCTTCATTTTTCGTATTTTCTCAAACCCAAACACACTTAGGTGATTTTCCAAGAACAAGTCTTCTTCCAAATCAATTGTAAGTTAGTTTTTACTCATTTCTTTCAATCATTAACATCTTTTAACATGATTTCAACCTAAAATCAAAGATTTTCATGGGGGAAATTGTGTGTTTTGGGTAGAACCTAGGTTTTTCAAAAATTGGAGATTTGGACCTCGATTTGAGGTTCGATTTCAAAACAAATTATATATTTGGGTTCGTGGGGGAATGGGTAATCGGGTTTTGGTTCGAACCTCGGGTTTTGACCACGTGGGCCCGGGGGCGATTATTGACTTTTTGGGTAAAACTTTGAAAAACTCATTTTCATGCATTGGGGTTGATTCATTTAGTGTTTATTGATGTAATTAAGTAATTTGTGATTAGATATGAGCGAATTGGCGGTGGAATCGAGGGGTTAAGCTATAATTGAGACTTGAGTTGTGTTCAAGACATCGAGGTAAGTGTTTGGTCTAACCTTAGCTTGAGGGATTAGGAGTGGAGTCCTATTTTCTATGTGGTATTAGTCGTGTACGACGTATAGGCATGGTGACGAATATCTATTTGTTGGTGTCTAGCATGACCGTGAGTCTTTATATTGTGAATATCTTGATTCCATTGTATTCTTCATGCCTTGGTGATGATTTCTAGTTGTTGTGAAAAGTTTGTGGAAGGAATTGAGTCCTTTGAACATCTTGGAGCATTGGCTCGAGTTATATTATGAATTGTGAAAGTATATGAGATGATCGAACCCTTTGGAGCATTAGCTCAAGTGGTAAAACGAGTTATGGAGTAAAATTGAAAGATAGAGAAAGAGTTATTGGAATGTTCCCTTGCCGGAATTTAGTTATTTCATTGTTGTTCCCTTGCCGGGATTTAATTGTTTAATTGTTGTTCCCTTGCCGGGATTCCTATTTATTCTTGTTTATTTCCCTTGCCCTTGTTTGTGATTGTTGTTTGGGTGTGGAAGAGTGTTAAAGCACGAAGGGTGATGCCGTGCATTGTTTGCTATTGTGAGGAAAGAGTGTAAAGCACGAAGGGTAATGCCGTGCCGCACAATATACCATTCCGTGCCCATTTTATTGATTATATGTGAGGAAAGAGAGTAAAAGCACGAAGGGTGATGCCATGCACATTTTATTATTCTAATTGTTTTGGTGAGGAAATAGAGTAAAAGCACGAAGGGTGATGCCGTGCACGTTTTCATTATATTATTGCTTGGTGAGGACAAGAGTAAAAGCACGAAGGGTGATGCCGTGCACTTATTTGATTTCTGCTTCTTGTTGGCATTGTAGTTATGTTGTTCCTTTCCTTACTTGATGCTTTATTCGGAACTGTTATCTCCCCGCAACATGTTTTCCCCTCCCATCCTTACTTGTTTATTTCTGCTTTGTTTT